GAAGAGAAGAGAAGAGAAGAGAAGAGAAGAGAAGAGAAGAGAAGAGAAGAGAAGAGAAGAGAAGAGAAGAGAAGAGAAGAGAAGAGAAGAGAAGAGGCTACATTGGGTTGAAAGCAAAGTACACGGCTAACTCTGCCCTCAGGCCAGGCAAGAGACCCAAGGCTCCTTCCCGGGATGCCTGGACGCCCCTCCTGTTTCGCGGAGCGCAGCGCCGCCCTGTGGCTCTGATCGTCCAGGGACCGCACAGACCTGACGCGTGAAACACGCTAGGTCTACTGCGTAGCGTCACATCATTTCTCTGGCACCTCCGTGCCCTCCAGTTGCCGGAGCCCAGCTGACTCCTCGCGAGCCTCTGGGCTCAGGCGCTGGGCCCCGCGGCAAGGGGCGGGGCCGCGGCGGGGGCGGGGCCTGGTGGGGCGGGGCCCGGGAAATTCCCTGCGGCGCGGGCCTGCGCGGCGGTCAGCTGAGCGGCTTCGGCTAGTCGCGCGGCGCGCGTCACCCCGCCTGTCCAAGCTCTGCGGCTCTGACGCCGCCTCTACCCGGCTGTCCGTGGCCGGCGCCGCCTCTGCGTCCGGAGCGCTCCTCCAGGGGCGCGATGCCCAGGAAGCAGTGACCCGGAGGAAAACCGATAGCAGGCGGCCGGTGAGTCGGGCTGGGCGACAGGGGCTGGGCGAGGAAACGGCTGGCACCTCTCTGTGGGCGCAGCCGTCCCCGCCGCAGAGCCCGCGGGACTGAGTGGCGAGGGGTGGGGCACGGCTGCCCCGGGAGGGTCTCCCGGCCCGGTGGATCCTGACCCAGGGGGAGAGAGTGACGAGGCTGCCGTCCCACGGAGTCCCTGCTTCCCAAAAGGATAACAGCCCCGGGCTAGCTGGTCGCAGGTCCCAGAGGTGGTTTGAGGGGGACGTCTTCTCTCAGGTTCATTATGCAGCGATTCCTGGTTGTAAGGAGGAAGAGGTTACAGGTACACCTTTCGAAGACCGGAAAACACTGTTCTACAAAGGTGACCCAGGAACAGTAAAGAACCTTGACACCTGTCTGAGGAGGTGGGATTACCAGACAGTTCTGAGGAGTCTGTACGTGCCCTGACTGGGTTCTGTGTCAAAGAAATAGGTACTGTGCATGTATATGTAACCTATGTGCATATATGTATGTGTTACATAATACTGTATATATATATAGAGAGAGAGAGAGGGAGAGAGAGAGAGAGAGAGAGAGAGAGAGAGAGAGGTTAAAGTTTGGTAAGACTGAAGACCTCAGGGCAGTTACTTTTACCCTAGGAAATATGTAAGCTAGTTAGTAAACAAGGCTACAAGAAAACGAAACCTAGCTTCTGACCTGGCCTCCACCCTCAGGAGTATAGTGAGGTGGAAATGTGTCTCTGTGGCATTTATGATAATCTGCAAGGTGAAGGTCCTTGGAAAATAAAGTAGTTTTGGAACCATCAAAGTCTCAGGAGTGGCTAGCAAGGCTGCACTGGTTACCCAAGCAGCCACCTTGATCTTTGATTCTAGGAGAGAAGAAGCCAGAGCAAAGGCCAAGGCCCACAGTTTCAGGAACAGACAGGAGACCTTTCAGGGCGGCCTGTGAGAGAGGACAGGGATTGGTTTGAGTGTATGCAGTGCTTTTCTACTGTGTCAGCTTTAGCAATTCTTTATTTATTTGTACAGCAATGTAAAAGTAAATGGTGTACTTTTTACAACTGACCTTTAGGTTCCAGTGTATATTATGCTGTGGAATTTAAATTCCCCTCCAACAAACTTCTTGGCAGAAATTTTTATTACCATCATACTGAGTGAACCCTTTCTCTTAAGTTGAAGTATACCGAGTAGTCCCTAAACCTGCTTTCCTGAGTTTTTTGAAATTTGGCATATTTAGTAAGTTCTGTAGATTTTATGGAAGAGTAAAACAAAAATCCAAAGGAAAAGTAAGAAGTTAAACTTAAAAACAATGTATTATTTAAAAAATGTTCAAGCCATTCATGATGGTGCATGCCGGTAATCCTAGCACTTGGAAAGCTGAGGCAAGAGAATCACCATGAGGTGGAGGCCAGCCTGGGCTGTGTAGTAAGACACTGTCTCAAAACACACCAACAAAAATTCATTGTTTCCACTTTATGATTATGCTGATGGAATACATGTTATGAAATAATATTCAGAAGCCTCTGCAGTGATATAAAAAGCAGTTTTGATTTTTAATTTAATTTATTTATTTATATGGAATTGGGGATTGAACTCAGGCCCTTGCGGTAGCCAGGGAAGCGCTTATTCCACTAAGCCATCTCCCCAGCCCCACAGTTCTAATTTTTAAAGTAGATTTTTAAAATTAACTCCATGATCTAGAAATAAATGACATAGAACACTAGAAAAAGAATGAGGATACTAACTGGCATGTGGGGAATGTCACATAGTGCAAAATGTTGTACAGGTATTAGACTTCAGAATACCTCATTATACTGCATTTTCAATTTCTTTTAAACAGACACTGAGAGCTTGCTGTGTCCCAGTCTTAAGAAAAAAAAAGAGATGGGCATAAGAGGATGGCAGTAATTGCAGTAAGGCCAAAGAGGTAGAAATGAAAACTGTTCTGGGTACCTGGAAGAAATAAGAACTCACTTTTCATGGTGTTCCATATTTGAACTAGAATCGAACTGCTGAGTGGAAGTCTACCAGGGCAGAATGGGAGCCATACATCTCAGGGAGAGGACAAAGGAGACCTAAAGGCATAGAGGCTAAGAAAGCAGAGAATTGTGAGCCCTTTAATGTACCTTTTATACAAGGAGTTTGTGAGAGGAGATGGCACTAGTAGGTAGATAAGCCAGCCACAGACCCCGAAAGGCCATGTTTATCTTGCTAAAAGCCTGTTTTGTAAGAGAGTGGTTATACTCTTAGAGAGTAACATCATGTTACAGAAGAAGCCGTGAAGGCAATGGCACTGATACGGAAAGGGATGATAGACCATTATGGGGACTATTGCAGCTCATTTAAAAATTCTTTGCTAAGTTTTTCTTTATATGTGTCAAGAAATGTCCTCCATGTGGGGGATACAGCAGAAGGCCAAACAGGCCAAAACCCTGTTCTGTGTGGTAATCACCACTGCCGAAGTCAGGCAAAATAAGAAGAATCTGAACTCTGCATCTTGCAAAGTAGGGAGGAAGTGGTAGGCTCTGGAAACATTTTGGAGGTAGACTGAGTGGGATTTGATGACCTATTAGATTTGGCAGAAGAGAGAATAGGAAGAATAGAGCATTACTCCTAGGTTTCTACCTTGTAACTATGTGAAATCTGCTCCTGTTTTCTGTATGTTAGTGAGATATAAAAATTGAAGTAGCATTTTTAGTATATAAGGATGAATCTTCTTTTACCCTGTTAGTGGGATATACATGAACTCTTAAGCTCTTTTTCCAAGTTGGTGATTGTGTGACCAGGCAAACCAGAAAACCTGAAAAGACCTTCTTGTACTGAGTAAGAAGTTGGTCTACTCTAGATTATCTCTGAGTCCAACTACAGAATGACATGTATGTCCTTGTCTACAAGGTCAAATCATTGCTATAATTACTTGGTCTTGGAATTAAGAATAAGAATGTGTGTTAGGAACTCAAGTATCAAATTTGGGAATAAAATCTGTAAGATTCTGCCTTTTAACCTCACTTACCAGGTAGTAGTTCTACACACCATTGGTGAAATCTTGTGCTCAATTAATAGTGTTTACTATCACCTTTGTTTAGAAATGAAACACTCTGGATCTAGATCAATTGGATTATCATCAGAAATTCTGTTACTGTTATTATAAGGAAAAATAACTTGCAACCTGTTAGATATCAAGTGCATCAATTTCACGGGCTGATAAAATCTAGGAATGAAAGAGGAGGTTATGGGATTTTTATTGGAAACACAAAGAGATTTTTAGGAGGGGCCCATGTGGGTGACCACATGGTCCTTCCATGCAGAGCTGCTCATAGATAAGCAGAGCACAGAAATTGCTGCATTGTTTAGGTGGCTGCCTGTTACAGGTGACTGTAAATTTTCAATGAGAACTCAGGCTTCTAACCCAGTTCAACATGTAGGGTTTAAAGGAAACTGAGATTTTAGAGAAAACAAAACACTAGTTATATTGCATTTTAATTCCTCAGAACTCGGGAGCATAGTAGGGAGGAGCTATACCTCACTTTAGTAGTAGGGAGTAGGCTGCTTCTCATGCTGCTTGAGAAAGTTCATTGCATTTAAATTCCTCAGAAGTCAGTACCGCAGGAGGGAGGGGGCTGCATCTCATTTGCTTAAGGAAGTTCTTTCTTTGTACAAAGACCTAGTCCAGTCTGTTCTTCTTTTAATCTTAGCAATATGGTTGATCACCCAGCTCTTGTATCAGGCCCTTCCCCAGTGAGCTGCTTCACACATAAGCTAACTAAATGAACTACTGTATACATTATCAGAATGTGGGAATGAGCTACCCTCTCTAGTTCTGAGAAAGAGAGAGTGCTGGGATCTCAGTCCTCAGGCTGAGCTCAAGTCCAGACTCTCCTGCTGAAAACCTGCTTGACCTCTCAGGAGAAGTCTTTGCATAGCAGGACTTTGGGAACTGTTTGCCTATGTGTCGAAGGTCTTGTAATTAATTGATCATATCTGTTTCCCCAGCTTTGCCATGCCCTAATCTGCTATCTCAATTTGTTCCAAATTAAAAATATTCATATAAGTGGTTATAATGCAATAATATAATACAAATAATAAAGGAAATATAAAGAAAAATAAGCTGCACTTACCTTTGAACACCTTCATGGCTGATGAGGGAGACAGATATTATGCAGGTTGACTTCCAATATCACTAACAGAATCACTCTTATCTAGTGGCTCAGTGGGATCTTCTTTTTTAGCCTTCACAAGTTACCTATCCAATGACACTTGTTTTTGCCTCGTTTTGAAGACTTTGTGGAAATGTGACCTTGCATTGTCCTTAAGCAGATTCATCACTCTAACTGCTACAGACTTACACTGTAAAACTTTATACTGTTTCACACATTTTACACATATCCCTAATCTCATTTGAAGTGATGGATTCTTCTACCTTTTCTCTTCCTTTGTGCATGAGCTCTCCATAACTTCTTGCTGGGAGACGGATCACCTGCAGACCTACAGAGGAAGAGAAAGGAATCAAGGGAAGGGAGGGAGGAAAGCAGAGGGGAACCTTTTGCTCAGTTATGAACGTGTGACATTGGTGTCACATACTACTCATATTGCTGAACGTTGCTTGTTTATCAATTAAAATTTATGGGCCAGGGATATAGCTCAGTGGTACAGCAGCTGCCTAGCATGCACAGGGTTATAAGTTTGATTCCCAATCCCCTCTCAAAAACAAAAAAAAAAGTACTAGAAATGTGAGCTTGTCTTATGGAATACTTACTGAACAAGCTCTGTGCAATGCAAGGTTTTATTGTATTATGTTCCATTATTTGTAGGATTCTAAAAATGACAGATTAGATGTAAATGGGTAAGATTAATTTAGCATTTACATACTTTCCTTTGCTATTTACGCTAACTTTATGACATTTGAATTACAAAGTATTCTTTCCTAACAATACTGGATGTCAGAGTTTGCTATAACTGGGATAGTTGTGTGTTTTGTGAGAGAGAATAGCATGCCTTGTGAAGGTAATGGGTATGTCTGAATTGAAGGTAGACTGTGACCTTACTGGAACTACTTTTCCCAGGACTGCTGAGCTCATAGCACCTATAAGGATGTCCATTTGCTTGATGGCTCATTAGTCACAAAGGTTACTCGGCTTCTGGAGTCCACACAATTGACCAGTGGTGTATTTCTGTCTCTCTTAGAACTTTGCATTTTCCCAGTGTAATTATGAAACCTGGGCAACCTGAAAAAGAAGCAGCACTGTCACAACTAGAACCAATGTTAATTTTATTGCGGTTGCCCCTATAGACTTGGTGAAGGTATAAAGAAAGGTCAAGGAGGAAAGAAACAGGAACCATCTTCAAAGGGATATCTCTCTCCCTTTTGTATTTTACCCTTTCCTGTTTCCCTTTTCCTTCTCCTTCACTTTCTTTTTCTTGGAAAATCCATTAAAGAAAAATCTTTATATAATATGTGAATCCAAATACATTGCCAGATACCTGCTTAAATACTTGAAAACAAAATCTGTTGGGCCGGGATGTCACTCAGTTGATAGAGCACTTGCCTAGCATGTGCGGGGCCCTTGGTTTAATCCCTGATACCAAAAATAAATAAAAAAAAATAAAATAAAGTGGTCTGTTTAATACTTTAATACTTTTATGGCCTTTCTAACAGGTAACATAATTACTAAATACCTAAGGAAAGTTTAGGTTTTCCTGTGATACATATTTTAACGAGTTTGTTTTTAGGCCTATTACCTAGAATTTATTATTCCTCTGCAAAATAAGGGAGAACACTATCACTTACTAACTCAGTAAAACTCCAATTTATGAAACGTTAGCACCAACATCATTCTGTGAAGAAAAAAAGAGTTTTATAGAAAGCGAGAAGCTGGCAGTTTATCTAGAAATTTTGGATTTGGGGAGAAAAAAAGTCTGTTTTTGTCAGTTAATGCGAAGTGATATAACACTTCTGGTTGATACGTCTTTTCTAGTTAATTTGGTTCTATAAAATGTAGAGACAAAAGGTTCATAGTTGAGAAATATATTTATCTGTGGTTTTCTCTCCTGCCTCACATAATGCCATGAGAAACCACTCTTCGCTGTGGCTGCTTTAGAATGAAGTTGCTCTGACAGTCAGCACAGAGCCTGAAGAGCAGTGTCTTTGATTACCTACAAGTTGCTGGAACCAAATCACATGCCAGCCTCTGGGTTCCACAGGACTTTTGGAGACTCCAACCTATTGTTGGTGTGGGAAGCAGTTAGGAGTGTACATTGGGGATATGATGAAGTTATATGTCAGAGAGAGGGCGGTCCTCCTGCCTCAGTCTTCCAGGGACTGATTTCATACATAAAGGGCTGCAGCTCCAAAAGTACCAAGGTCTCCATAGTCCTGTGATCATGAGGAGCTGATGGGTCTAATGTTTTCCTCCAAGACAGGTGGGATCAGTCACTTCTGAGAGCTTCCTCATCTATCATGGGTTCTGATTGTATCACTGGCTTTCTGCTTTATCATAATTGTATAGTAGCATCATACATAGATGGAGTCAAATTTGTGAGTGGGGTTTTAGGAGCGTGTTTTGAGACAGGGTGTTATTATGTAGCCCAGGTTGGCCATGAACTCACAATGATCCTCCTGCCTCAGCTTCCCAGTGCTACGATTACAGGCATATACCACCATGCCTGGCTTCAACTTAGGTTTTTTAAACTAAAACCTCGTCTCAGCCTCCCATAGTGCTGGAATTACAGGTATGTACCACTGCTCCCAATTAGGGATTCCTCTCTAAATTGCTTATACTTGACTAAAATTTTACTGGAAATCGCTAATGTAAGGTGAAGGTTAAGCTAGGTATGGTGGTGCATGCCTATAATCTGAGCACTCTGGGAGGCCAAGACAGGAGAATTGCAAGTTCAAGTCCAGCGTAGGCACTTTAGCAACTTAGCAAAACCCTGTCTCCAAATTAAAAAAAAAAAATTAAAGAAGGGCTTTAATGTAGTTCAGTGCTGAAGTCCTGAGTTTAATTCCTAGTAGTTAGGAAAGAAATGTATTAAAAAGCTCAACATCTTGGGAATGATTGTCTGCTCTTTCAGGTGTCTCTCTGGACATCAGCCACTTTTTGCTTCATAGTATAGGAATGTGCATATAGTGTCAGAGCACAGGTAGGAGTTGCCTTTTCTTTATATTGTTTTATAATCGTTAACATCAGCCCTTGATGGAAGACACAATTTTCACAAACTGCGACGATGAAAATGTTTGCCTAGAGTCTGTGTTCAATAGTCAGAGAGATGGTAAGTGGAGTTGAGTCAGTCATCTGTCTTATATGTCCATATTGACTCCTCTGCAAAATAAAGTAGTATATGTAAAAAATATTTTCAGAATATGCAGTGACTAAATAAGGTAGCTTATTTTTCTGGTATGTACTTTGGAAAATATAATGAGAAAGTCTTAGTGTTCAGTATTACCTTTTTCACATTGTTAGGTTTTGCCATCAACCTTCATTCATGCCTGGCTGTGCCACTTGCTGACTTTGGCTGACCCAAACACCCCTGAGATTCAGGTTTTCCTCACATGTAAAATGATTGTTTTAATGAAGCCTGGAGACAGGGTTGTGACTGGTATGCCGTGTGGCACATAGGAGTGCTGAGAGGCTAACTCTCACTTTTAACTGAAAATATATGCAATAAAGTAGGGGAATTTTTGAACAACTGTATTGGGGTATAATTCGCATACCATACATTTCATTCCAAATAAGGAACTCAGAAGCTGAAGATTTGCATCGGAGAATTTCTGTAATGATGCTTTTCTCACATGATGATCATCATGTCCTCAGTGTGGGTCTTTTCCTACACTTCCCAACTCCCCCCGGGCCTCTGTCTGTAGCCATTTACACAGGCATGCATACACGCACACACTCACCACTGGTGGTACATGTGTGACTCATCAGGCAGCTTATACCATTGGTGGTACAAATGGATCTGATCACTTTTATTGGTCTTTTTACTAGTAAATAGAAGGCCACCTGATAGGATAGTCATGCATGTGCCACTAGTGGTTCAAGCTGCCCAGCAGTCAGAAATATGAATTATGGTCCCATCATGGACATGTTAAGGGAAAGAATTAAAGATGTTCAGAATGCCATTGGATACTGGGTGCTTTAGTTCACACATAATCTCAACTACTTGGGAGGCTGTGGCAGGGGGATCATAAATTTGGGGAAAGATTGGGGCAACTTGGTAAGACTCACTGTAGCTCAGTGATAGCCTTTAGACTCAATCCCCAATATGAAAGAAAGAAAAATGAAAAGAAAGAGCAATTAGAAAGCTAACAATTTTGGGAATAATGACTGTATTAACAATTCTTAATGGATTTGTGGGACTTATAGAGACCCATGGCAGAGGAAAGGCTGGTATATTTCCAATGTATGACTTTTTCATAGGAACTGCTGTTATGTCCCACCAAGCTCTCAGCGGCCTGACTGAAAAGGGGGACAGCCCTGATAAAACCACAGGGAATGGACCCCCCAGTCTGGCTCACCCCGACCTGGACACATTCACCCCAGAGGAACTGCTGCGGCAGATGAAGGAGCTCCTCGTTGAGAACCACCAGCTGAAAGGTGAGCAGTTCTCTATTTTCATCCCTTTCTCAGAACCGTGCCTGTTACAATAAGGATGAAAGGTTAGCTCCTTTCTCCTTTACGCTGAGGGAGGAAAAAGCTGTGAGTGGCTTTTGACAGACTGAAGTGGTTTCTGTGTTTACTTTTGAATCTAGGGAAGCAAAAAATATTTGGGATTGAAAGGTTAGTTCAGTGGTAGAGCCAGCATGCAAGAGGCCCTGGATCTGATCTCTTGCTCTGAATTAGGTAGGTAGGTAGATAGTAAGTATTCTGTCTCAGGGAAATGATGTAATGGTGTTTAGTGCATTTAAGAGGAAGATAAGATAAAGATTGCTACAATTATGAGTTAGCCCTAAATTACACATGTTAAAGAGAAAGCATTCTGTTATCTTAAGCTACAGGTTTGGGAAGACCTACATTCTAAGTAAGGAACGATAAGACCTTCCTTAGTCCCCTGGTTTGTTTGTGCCTTTGTTCATTTGTTCATTCATTCATTCATTCATTCATTCAGTCAGTCAGTACTGGAGATTGAAGCTAGGGTCTTGTACATGGCAGGTAAGTACTCTGTTACATACCCAGTTATCCTCATTATGAGATTTTCTACTATAGTGAAGGGACCTAAACTGATTTTATTTTCTTAGGACTTTTTATATTTTGTTTTGTTTTGAGACAATATCTTTCAGAGTTTCCCAGGCTAGCCTTGAACTTATAATTCTCCTACTTCAGCCTCCCAAGTAGCTGGGCAAATACCATTGTGCTCAGCTGCTTGATCTTTTAAAGACTAGAAATGATGGTAGGCCTGCTAGTTCTGTCTGGAAGCAGCTTATTATTGTCTCTTTCCTGCTGACCCTGGAATGCTGGCCAATCCTGATGCATTTAGATTCAGAGCCAGGCAATGGGGAGAATTAATGTGTGAAATTCTGCCCAGTCTCCTGGCATGTGCCTCCCTCCCTTTGAATCCCTCACAGAAGCCATGAAGCTAAACAATCAAGCTATGAAAGGGCGATTTGAGGAGCTTTCAGCCTGGACAGAGAAACAGAAGGAAGAACGCCAGTTCTTTGAGATCCAGAGCAAAGCAGCCAAAGAGCGCCTGATGGCCTTGAGTCATGAAAACCAAAACTTAAAGGAAGAGCTTGAAAAACTAAGAGGGGAACCACAAAGATCACTAGAGGTGAGGAGACTGATCAACTGTGAGTTTATTTTCTCAATATCTGCAGTAGGATCTTATTTATTTAGATTCCTTCCATTGTTCAGGCTGTACTGGTCTGAGAAGTATTTTTGCTGGAAAACCTGGTTGTAATTTAAGGTCAGGATAATCCCTGTTGTGGGTAGTAAATTTGTAAAGCTTTAACCATATTGTAGCCAAAAGAACAGAGCTTGTAATCAGTGTTTTGTTACACATGGTGCAGAAGGATGTTGTTCTAGAACCATGCAATTGTTTCTTTTCATTTATGTCTTTGATATAAAATTTCCTTTTTCAAAAACTATTAACTCAGAATGTTTATTTACTGACTTTGTCTCAGTCTAAAATAGAGATTTTTCTCTTTACATTTTCCTGTTGAGGACTCACTTGACAAAGCCACTGTGGGTAACAGGAGCCCGACTAGGGTTACTCTGGTTAAAAGGAGAAATATATACGTTTTTGTTGATCCAAAGAACCTGGGGAATACCCAAAAGTGAATGTCAAAGATATTAGTGAAAACCAATCTTGTTTCCACTAGAGGATGGCTGAAGTCCCTGCTGGTCCACCAAGTGCCCTGGGTCTTGTTCATTTAGGTGGACATAAGCAGGTGTCCATTTTCCACTATACCTGTACAGTGTAGGATGGAGCACTACACTGCTGATGGAGGGGTTTACTCCAATATCAGTGATTTTTTGGTGAAACTTTACCTTGAACTTGTTCATCTCTACTTTCTTGATAAATAAAGAAACAAAATACATAGAAGGGACTGAGGTAAAATAAAGCATTGAAAAATGATTTAGAAAAACTTGTATACTTCAGATCAGTGATCTCATTAATTCCTAGCCATGGGCAATGAATATTCTGCTTCAATAAATTTGTATTTGTATTAGAAGTGTTTCTTTGTTTTGTTTTGGTTTTGGTTTTTTGGCAGAACCGGGGATTGAACTCAGGCCCTTGCACTTGCCAGGGAAGTGCTTATTCCACCAAGCCATCTCCCCGGCCCCAGAAGTGCTTCTTTGTTGATAAGATTTATTATGCCTGATCTTTCAGTTTATCTTACAGTTCAGAGAGCATAAGTTCCTTCCTTGGCAGGGAAAAATCTCTAAAATGATCACCTGAGATACAGTCTTATATATTTTCTACTTTCTACAAGAAAATATCTGACATTATTTTCCTTTCTTGAATTTTGGAATGTGAGCTGATAGTTGGCTTAGTCTGTAGGAACCTGTCACACTGAACCTAAGAGGGAAGCTTCTAGATAGCTTGTCATTTCTTGAGATAATCCACCTCTAGGTTTTCCTAAAAGGCTCTAGAATTGGAAGCAGCTGAGATCAGAAGCCAGCACTCTCAACAGCTGCCTTCAAGGCAGACAGTCAAGGAACACAGCTCCCAGCAGGACTCAGAAGAGATGTGAGGTGCATGGGAGAAAGAATTTCAGCCAGTTTCACCAAATCTTGCATTAAATTCATGTCCAGAGAATACTTTCTAACTTTTAACCTATATCTGGACAAAAGTCACACGGCAAACTATCCTCCTAAGATGGTATGTTAACCTGGGAAGTGTTCAGGACAATGAGATGGGAAGATAATACAATGTATGGGAAGACCGAAGCACAGTGTCACTGGGTGACTTTCTGTTCTAAAACAATAAAATAACAATGGACTTGGAGGAGAGAGCAGAGACCATGGGAGATCTACTCTAGGAAAGCAATGGGAAGAGTCTGGATAGTAAAATGAAAGGAAATATGGGCAAGGGAGATAGCAGTCCAAAGTGCCTGCCTGGCAAACTCAAGGACCCAAGTTCGGTCCCCAGTGCCATATGCCCTGACAGCCACCAAAACAGGGCATGGTAGTGCATGCTTGTAATTCTGCAGCTGGGGAGGCTGAAACAGGAGGATCTCTCTGAGTCTGAGTTGCTCAGTGAGAACCTGTACCAAATATATAAATAAAGATTTAAGAAATAAAAGGAAACAAATTATCTTTGCATTGTCAAGTTAACTGCGTATTTTCCCAAATATGATTAAAAAGAAAATTAGCCTACTAATCTGAGGTACCAGTGTCATAACCTTAGAAAATTGTTTTCAAACACTTATTTAGAACTTTTTATCCTTCAACCCTCCCATCAAGGTGTATAAAAATTCATGCTACAGCATGTCTGTAGAGATGCCAAGAGGGTACCTCTAAAGTTTGCTAAAGATAGAGCCTTGCCTTTATCTGTCCAGGCTATTTCTTGGGTCTAGGCTAAGTGGTACCTATTCTTTTATTTTCACTCTTGTTTTTTTTTTTGAGAAAGTGTCTTGCTATACAGTCCAGGCTGGCCTTGAACTCACTATGCAGTCCAGGCTGGCCTTGAACTCACATCAGGTAGTCATCCTGGCTCAGCCTCTGGAATGTTAGGATTATACGCATACACCACCATGCCAGCTCTCATGTCTTTATTCTTTAAATATTTTCATTTTATATGAGTCACTGTGAAGACAGGGTATATAGACTTCTGTTCAAAATGTAACTCTGGGTTCACATGAGGCATTTCTTTGAGGCCTGCGATAGTTCCCCCACAGGACTGCTGCACGTGAAGGGAAAACATTATTCCTGTACTGTGAGGGACAGGTGAGTGTTTGTACCTCTGCTAAACAACATTTTATGGACTAGCTGGTTTGTAGTCCATCCACTCTTGTACTGCTTCGATTCTGCCATGAGCCTTTGAACATGTTTTCTGTTCTTTGTAAAATCTGTTAGAAAGGGCAGAATAATACCAAAAAGGACAAAAGTCTAGTTAGACAATGTTGACTATAAGTAGAAGATAACTGATAGAAAGTTTTATGAGGAAGATCTATAGATAGTATTTAATCAGCTATAGATTCCTGAAAGTAATAAAGAATTTTCTTTAAAAGCTTTCTATTTGACACTATTAAGGTGTGTGTGTGTGTGTTCCAATTTTTTACTGCTTTCAGCATCTGTGTTTTCAGTATGGAAAGGAACTGAAGCATGGTGTCATGCAGATAAGAGCAATGGAGGGGAGGCACTTGCCTGGAGAGGGATCCAGGAGCCCTAGGGGTCACCACTGGAAGAGGCTACAAGAAGGTGGCACCATGTCTTCTAATACGAAACCTGAACCCAGAAACATTTGTGAGTCTGCTCCAGGCCATAGCAGCCATGGTCAGCAGAATGTGGACTACATCTGTTTACCCAGCAGTCATTGCAACAGGGTGAATATGACACATACTTGAGACTTGTGAGATATTAATGCTTATTATTGTTAGTGTTTATATAGGCTAAAGTTTAGTTTTTTTCTAAGTTTAGTTTTTGGGTTTTTTTACGTTTGATAATCAGCCTCTGGATTTTAAATTTTGTTTCTCACCAGATTTACTTTTATCAATCTTAAATGTCAACAAATGTCATATATTGTACCCACTGGCTTATTTACTGGAAGAATTTAGGGCCCTATCATTTTATTTTGCCATTACTGAACCAAGTGATGGCCATGGTGCTTTGGCTTATAACTCCACATGAGAGTACTGAAAGGTGGATTAAGTAGGCATATTTGAGGAGGAAAAAGCCAAGAGACTCAGGTATATCAGCTTTTTGTGCTTATTTTCTGGAGTGTTGGGTTACGACTTAGGAGTCTACTGTTTTCAAACTCTAGTTGGTTATTTGCATAATAGCCAGTGAGCTCTGCAAGTCATTCTGGTCATAAAATTATTTAAAATTTTGCTTCTTTTTATTGGCACCTGTTTGTAATGCCTATAGATTGCACTCCTTATGGGGAGTTGGTTCATGGACACGACACAGCTTGATTTTTTTTAATCCCCTCCCCTCCCCTGCCTCACCATCCCTCTATCTCTTCTACCCCTTCATATATTTCTGTTATGTATATTGTATTTATATATAATATATAATATATTCATATATTATTTAAATTCAACAAAGTAATGAAAAATTTCTACTTTGAACAGTATGTGAAGGTTACTGCCAAGTGAAAGCTAAATGGTGAGAAGCTGCCTCAGCTGTGAGTATGGGATGCAGTGGGATGACTGGGCCCTTACTTTGCTTTGTTTTTTGTTTTTTTTTTTTTTTTTTTTTTTTTTTTTGGCCCCTTGTTTTTCCCAGGACCCCACGGGTGACACGGGGTTTCCCAGGGCAGAAGCAGAGCAGGCAGTAAAGCAGCTGAAGGTGCAGGTGGCACGGCTCCAGAATGAAAAGGCAGACCTGCTGGGCATTGTCTCTGAGCTGCAGCTCAAGCTCAACTCCAGTGGCTCCTGTGAAGACTCCTTTGTAGAGATTAGGATGGCTGTAAGAGCTTTTTTCAGTTTGTTCGTTTGTTTGTTTGTTTGTTTTTGTATCAGGAATCAAACTCAGGACCTTGTGCTTGCCAGGCAGGCACTCGTTCTATTTTTGTTTTAAGCAAAGTAAAAAGCCTCACCTAAACAAATGAGCCAAATACTACTATTTCTTATGAAAACAGGGAAGCCACATACCAAAGGGAAATTTCACTGTAGCAAAGATAAATTTGCGCCTGGTTTTTAAGAGTAAGATAGAGTTTTTTGAGTTGTCCTAGTTGAAATGGAACAATAGAAATTTACCCTTTATGATGAAAGACATAATTTTGTTTTTACTTTATCTTGGCAAAGAAGATATTTTTGCAACTGACCTAAAAAGATGCCAAAACCAGAAACTATAAGCATGAATTTTGTGACATTTTTTAGGCCAGGTCTCAAAGCTGTACTGAGAAATTGACTTAAGTAAGCAGAATGGTGATCAAATGGAGTAAATGAACGTGTTTTAAGCACTTTTTAGTTGTGGAACCCTCTTTTTAAGTATTGTGGTAACTAAAAATGAGAAGTAAGGGGAAAAAGAACAGAGCTTCTGGAGGTATATGGTGTTTTCCCTCCCAAGAGCAGCTGCTTAGGAACCTCTGAGAAGTAAATTTGTAGGCAGTGCTACGAAAGTCAAATTCCAAGGAGCCAAAATGAAGTGGGCTAAGTTGGTGTGTGCTGATCCTAAGCACCTGTGAAGTGATTGTTCTGCTGTATCAGGATGTACACACGATTCTGTTAAAGAACAGTGTAGGTACATAAACCATGTAGGGCCTGTCCTTCAGTACCACTGAAAAGACCGGGTAAATATGCAGGAAATCACACAGTGATAAAAATCCTCCGTGATACAGGCAGTCAGTGGAGGCAAGACAGAACTTGTAGTCATTCTATCAAAGCATACATCTGATATAGGAAAAGAGATTAATTGTGCCCAAGAAAGAGAGAAACTGTACTTTGTAGACAAGTCCAGTAGAGTGGGGAGTAACTTGCAAAAAAATCTAAATTACTAAATATATACAGAATATTAGTGTAGAACTTCCTTATCCTCCTGCTGCACAAAGGAATACAGTTGGAAGATGGCTCTTACTAACTTTGCATCTGTGCCCCCCCCGAGGCATTCATTGTAGGCACATTAATTGTGGCGGAACTTAGCTGAAAAGCATGTGTTGCCAGAGTAGCTTTGTGTAAGTAACCAAAGACTACTGCAGAATTTTGATTAACAAACTTTGACCCTCTGCAAATAACTGATACAATTTCAAGAGTTCAGAGAGCTTATCAGAAGTTTCCAAATAAGGTTTCTTCTTTCATAGTCTAATATTCTAGACATAGCTAGATTCGTCATTTTCTGCTTCACAGATGACAGTTATTATTAAATATGTTTTGCTGGCTTTGCTTCTGTGAACAGGAAAACACACCCAAGATTTAAGAAGACCATATCCAAAATATCTAGAACCATCTCTGTATATTGAAGTTTTTCTTCATTATCTTATTGGACTATTACTGCCCTGCTAATCCTGCAAGGATTTGTCTTAGACTTCTGGTTCCCTAAATGGGCTGTGGTGGGTGAATATTTTTAATGGAAGCTAGGTTGGCAGAAATGTTGCTTTGTAAGCATCAGCTACCAGAAACTGCCTCTTTTCAACTTTGCTTGAGTGCATTCTAAAATTCTGCATTTTAAAGGATTGTACAAGAAAGATAGGTGGGCTGTCACCAGCTCTGTAGAACCTTAACCTAGGGAGAGGAGTGCCAAAGCGAAAGCAGAGAAGATAAGCTTTTATGTTTATGCAGCTGGGTTCAGTGCGTTCCATGAGAGGAGACTGACCTTCACACCTTAGATGACATAGTTATAATCTTGACAGGGCTTGGGGGCTGAGGAAGGAGCACATTTCCATTTCCATTCCAGTTCAGTGACCCAGTTTAATCACTACACATTCACATGTTTGCTCATTTCTTTTGGTTGCATGGCATCAACAGTCTTGATCTTTTGTCTCCTCTTTCAATGAAGAATTTGTTTTGCAGGCACATTTTGTTAAGTTCCTTTCATTTCTGCTTTTACAGGAAGGAGAAGCCGAAGGAGCAATAAAAGAAATCAAGAACAGTTGTCCAAAGCTCCCAACAACAGACTCTACTGACACGTATGTTGAAAGACTAGAGCTATCAAGCAGACAGAAAGGACAATCTTGTCATTTCAAGCCTGTCACTGGAGGGCAAACACTGGAAAAGTGTCTGATATATTCCAGAATCTTTTAGGAATAGTAGATGCTATTTAATGCTGCAGCCAAGTGGATTCTAGGAAGCAGACCCCCTAAATAATGGGAGGGCCTGTGAGTGGAGAGGTGGTGGAACTGGGTGCCTAAACAACTTGATTCTTGGCAGGCAGAGCTCATCCAGAGGATGCTGTTAGCTCATTTTTTGGTGTGAGTCATGCATCTCAGTCCATTTGTGAGCCATTATCTGAAAATTTCTCCATGTTTTTTCCCTGAAAACCTTTATGTGGGGAGAATTACTAGGAATCAAACCCAGGGGTACTCTCCCATTGAGCTATATCTCAGACCTTTTTATTTATACTGAGGCAGGCTCTCACTAAATTGTCTATGTCAGGATCTCTGTAGGTAGTAAAAGTAAGTATGAAATAACAGTCTTGCATCCAAACACAAAAATTGGCATAAGTAAACATTCACTTTTTTAGTTAGAAATTTGTCAACTTTTCCCCAAGCTGCTGTTTTGAATATCAAAAATCTTTCCTGGAAAAATAGATAGATAGATAGATAGATAGATAGATAGATAGATAGATAGATAAAAATCTTTCCTGGAAGTACAGGGAAAGAAGAAACCTCTGTTTGAAATTTTCAAGCCACTTCCTCTTTACTTATATCCACAGGCAAGGCCCTTTAAGTCACATTACAATTCAAAAATAATAATAACAGCTCTATGCCATTTATGAGTATTCTGTATCTGAGATTGATTCCAGTTTGGAATTCAGGCTTTGCAGTCCTGGTAACTGGGACTGTATTCTGACTATTTATTAGGTATGTAAGCTTGAGTAGATGACTGAGGTATAGCTATGTTAACATTATCATGGTCATATGGTTTTGTCTGCCATCAAAATTTCTCTTGGCTTAGTCACCTTGTTTTGGTGGTACTTAGGATTAAACCCCAGGTCTTTGCACTGAGCTACATCACCACAGCGTCTCTCTAAATTGTCCAAACTGGGCTTGAATTTGCAATCCACCTACCTCAACCTTCCAGAGTGCTGGGGTGTAGGCATGCACAGCACATGCAGTTTCAATCATGTTTTGAAATGGCAAAAAATACTTTACAACATACCTGCATTTTCCTGATCTGATTATTTGAAACAAAAACTAAAAAAAGTTTTCTTGACTTGCAGATATGATGGCTTTTGCCATAAGAAGAAAGGCCACTAGTCTACTGTATAGTTTGTGCAGTGCTAGTCTCCTTGAGACTAGATATCTGGAGAGCTGGACACATCCAGCCAGGGCTGCTAAACTGTGTCTGTGGGCTTTGCAGCCTCCTCTGTGTATTGTCACCATTTAGAGAAAGCAAGTACTTGCATAATTATGCTGGCTTACTGTTAGTCCCCACACCATACCTAAAAAGTAGGGCACAGCTTAGCACAGGATCAACTATGGTCGGTTACTAGATGAGAATTAATTTGCAAATATTCTGGAAACCAATCACTTTAGGTTGTGTTTGGTTATACAGGGCTACTCTATTCTTGAGCCTTGACATTCTCATGAAATCCTTTTAACCTGTATACTGAATGTGGTGGTGGTATCTTAATGTAGGAACAAATCTGTGCAAGGCACCAAAAAGTATTTGGAATTTGAATTGGAATTGACTGTAAGCCAGCTCCTGCTTTGCCTGAGGGAAGAAAACCAAAAGGTGGAGAGACTTGAAATTGCACTCAAAGAAGCCAAACAAAGGTATGAGTATGATACACATTAACAAGAAACATGTATACATTAACAAACAGCTTTACTGAAATATAAAGGTACCACACAGTTCAACCATTTAATGTATACATTTCAAGTGTTTCTAGAAGTCATCTGTTTGTACAATATAATTTTAGAATATTTCCCCCCCATATAAGAAATCCAGGGCCCATAACATTCAGAAGTGTACACACTCCTCCCATTATCTACTTTCTGTCGGTATAAACTTACTTATTCTAGATAGTTGTATAAATGGCATCATACAATATGTGTTTTATAACTGGCTTAAACATGATGTTTCAATTCTCTTGGGTCTATATTTGGGAGTTGAGTTACTGGATCCTATCGTAACTCTGTGGTATGTGTAAGCCATATTTGAGAAACTGCCAAGTCATTTCCCAAAGCAGCTTCACCATTTTGCAACCCCACCAGCAGAGTGAGTATTCCACTTTCTCCAAATCCACAGCAACACTTGTTATTGTCTTTATTGTAGCCATCTTGGTAGATGTGAATTGATGTATCATTGTAGTTTTGAGTTCTGTTTTCTCAGTAACCAATAGTGTGGAATATCTTTTCATGTTGTATCTTCTTTGGAGAAATATCCAAATTCTCTGTTCATTTTTTAAAAAAAGTTTCGTTGTTATGATTTAACTTTATATTCTGGATACTAGTCCTTTGTTGAATATGTGATTTTCAAATTTTCTCTCATTCTGTGGGTTGTCTTTGCCCTGTATTGTGTTGTGTTTTGTTGTCTTGTGTTCTAGAGATTGAACCTAGGGCCTTGCACATGCTAGGCAACTGCTCTACCACTAAGGTAAAGCCCCAGCTTTTTCATTTTCTTAATGGTATTTGCAGAACAAAAAGTTTTTTTTGTATTGATGCAATCCAATCTGTCACTTTGTTATCTGGGCCTGTGGTCTACCTCAGTATCATAATAATTCACTTTTAGATTTCTCCATTATATATTTTTATACTTTAAGTTCTGATGTTTCAGTCTGTGAGAAATTTGGAGATCATTCTTTTGTGTATACAGAATGATATGATCAACTTCATTGGATTCTTGATTGTGTTCATTGATCTAATTATAATGTACGTCCTTATGCCAGTATCATCCTGTCTTCATTACAAGAGCTTTGTAGTAAGTTTGAGAATCAGGAAATGTGGGTCCTCCAACTTTGCTCCTTTGCAAAACTGTTTTGGCTGTTCTGGGTTTTGTGCTTTTTCATTTGCATTTTAGGATCATCTTGATAATATCTTGGGGAGGCACTAGGACTTTCTTAGGGTTTGCATTGAATCTGTAAATCACTTTGGGAAATACTGCCATTGTAGTGTCTTGCCCTATGAGCATGGATTATCTTTCCATTTACTTGTGTCTTCTGTAATTTTCATCAGCATTTTATACTTTCAGGGTATAGGTCTTGCATTTTTTTATTCCTAAGAATTTTAATTTTTTTTTATTTATTTTTTTTTTTTTTTCTGAACTGGGGATTGAACTCAGGCCCATTGCACTTGCCAGGGAAGTGCTTATTCCACTGAGGCATCTCCCTGGCTCCCAAGAATATTCTGTTGCTTTCATGGTTTTTTGTTTTTGGGTTTTTTTGCGGAACCGGGAATTGAATTCAGGCCCTTGCACTTGCTAGGCAAGTATTTATTCTACTGAGCCATCTCCCCGGCCATTTTTAATGTTTTTAATGGTGCTGTAAAAGAAATTGTTTTAATTTTTGGCTTATTCATTCACAGTATATAAAAACTAATTTTGTATATTGATCTTGTATTTGGGAACCTTGCTGAACTTATTTGTTAGTGCTAATCATTTATTTATTTATTTTTTTATTTTTTAAATATTTTTTTAAAATTTTATTTATGTGTGTGTGTGTGTGTGTG